CAAAAAGTGTCAAATTTAGAAAACTTTGGTTCGCGTTAGCCGGTGTAGGACATACCCAGAGGAGAAAATCTCAAACCCCGGCCGAAGGCCGACTACTTACAAAAGGTATCCAATTTAGAAAACTTTGTTTCGCGTTAGCCGGTGTGGGACATACTCAGAGTAGAAAATCTCAAACCCCGGCCGAAGGCCGGCAATTTACAAAAAGTGTCAAATTTAGAAAACTTTGGTTCGCGTTAGCCGGTGTAGGACATACCCAGAAGAGAAAATCTCAAGCCCCGGCCGAAGGCCGGCTACTTACAAAAGGTATCCAATTTAGAAAACTTTGGTTAGCGTTATCCGGTGTGGGACATACCCAGAGTAGAAAATCTCAAGCCCCGGCCGAAGGCCTGCTACTTACAAAAGGTATCCAATTTAGAAAACTTTGTTTCGCGTTAGCCGGTGTGGGACATACCCAGAGGAGAAAATCTAAAGCCCCGGCCGAAGGCCGGCTACTTACAAAAGGTATCCAATTTAGAAAACTTTGGTTAGCGTTAGCCGGTGTGGGACATACCCAGAGGAGAAAATCTCAAGCCCCGGCCGAAGGCCGGCTACTTACAAAAGGTATCCAATTTAGAAAACATTGGTTCGCGTTAGCCGGTGTGGGACATACCCAGAGGAGAAAATCTCAAGCCCCGGCCGAAGGCCCGCTGTTTGCAAAAAGTGTCAAATTTAGAAAACTTTGGTTCGCGTTAGCCGGTGTAGGACATACCCAGAGGAGAAAATCTCAAACCCCGGCCGAAGGCCGGCTACTTACAAAAGGTATCCAATGTAGAAAACTTTGGTTCGCGTTAGCCGGTGTAGGACATACCCAGAAGAGAAAATCTCAAGCCCCGCCCGAAGGCCGGCTACTTACAAAAGGTATCCAATTTAGAAAACTTTGGTTCGCGTTAGCCGGTGTGGGACACACCCATAGGAGAAAATCTCAAGCCCCGGCCGAAGGCCGGCTATTTACGAAAAGTGCCAAATTTAGAAAACTTTTGTTATTCCGCCGACTGCTACGCGAAATAAACCCTTTTTTTATTGAAAACATCATTTTAATGAACTGGTTAGAATCGGGTTATGCGGATGGAAATCTGGAAGATCTCTGGAAGATTATAATGTTTAGAAAACCTATAGATCGCGTAGCCGGTGTTAGACATACCCCAGAATGTTAGGAAAAACTATGGATCGTGTAGCCGGTGTTGGACATACCCGAGGGGAGATAATCTCAAGCCCCGACCGAAGGCCTGCTACGTAAAAAAGCTTAAATATTTCATGTTTTGCATCACAAATATCTTTGGAACTATAAGAGAGATCAGCACATATGATACCATTTTGGAAGGACAAGAATATAGGCTATAGTGTAGTATGTAGATCTGTAGTGCTCCTTTTTAGGGGGTTTTCAAAAAGTAATGGTATAAAATTACCAATTTTCATGCATTCCCCGGAACCGGTTCCAATAACCCTATCATATGACAACTTGTTGGATAGGTAATTCCATAAGCTTTCAAATGATACCATTTTGTAGAACTGTATCAGAACCGGAACTTTCGGGTCAAATAACCGGGTATTTCCCCCACGAAAAAATGACTTTTCCTTAATCAGGTTAAAAATACCCAAATTCAAAATTAGCCGAGCATAGTCCCTAAACTCAATTTGCGTATGTCCAACAGCGGCTACTCGATCCGTAATATTTCTCAACTTTGTTTCTTTTGGAAGCAGCCGGCCTCCGGTGTACGACTAAAGCCTTAAATCCATTACAAAATTTGGTTTGCTCAAAATTGTTCCAATAACAGAAATTGTTAAAGCTAATATCTTCGGAACTACAAAATATATCGTCTCGTATGGCACCATTTGGGAAGATTAAAGTGTAGACTATAATGTGGTACATAAATATTATTATTCAATAATGGGTCCATCTTCGACTTTTTGGGAGTTTTTTTAAGATTTCCGATCCAAAAATAAAAATTTCTTGTATTAATACCGAACATGTTAAAATAATCCATGATATGTTTCACATTGGAATAGGTATTTATAAAAGCTTTAAAACGATGCCCATATTGTATAAATCGGTTCAGATAGAACCCGGATTTGTGCTAATACCTATTTCCTTTCCACAGATATGGATATTTCCAACCGCACAACCCGATTCTAAGAATTTCATTAACGTTATGTTTTGAATATTTGGCTTAACTCTAGTTTAGTAAAAACTCTTCAATTTTTCCCAGTGGTAGGTATTTTTACCCTGATCCCGGGAAACTATTTTTTTCTTGGGGGACGGACCTGAGACCCCAGATTTTTGATCCGAAATTCCGGGTTCAAGACTAGACCCGGATCCAATTACCCGATATAGATCATATAGATATCGTTGGAAAGCTTATGAAAATACATATCCAACAAGTGGTTACATGAAGGGGTAAGATGTTACGGTTCGGAACTTATAGTCAAATCGATTTTTTGGAACTGGTTAGAATCGGGTTATGCGGAAGGAAAGATCCATATCTCTGGACCCGAAAAAGGTATAAGCACAAATCGTAGCATTTTGGAAAGGTAAGAGTGTCACCTATAATTTGGATAATTTGTTGACCCCCATAATTTGTTGACCCCCAGTGGTAGGTATTTTTACCCTGATCCCGGGAAACTTTTTTTTCTTTGGGGACGGACCTGGAACCCCAGATTTTTGACCCCAAAGTCCGGGTTCAAGACTCCGACTAGACCCGGATCCAATTACCCGATATAGACATTATAGATATCGTTGGAAAGCTTATGAAAGTGCCTATACAACAAGATGTCGGAATTTATAGTCAAATTTTTTGGACCCGAATTTTTTATTAAACCCCCAAAAAGTAAAAAAAGGGTGCATTATGGGGGACAACAAAATTGATGCCAAATTATAGCTGACACTCTTACCTATCCAAAATGATACAATTTGTGCTAATATCTTTACTGAGTCCATATGGGTCTTTCCATCCGCATAACCCGATTCTAACCAGTTCATTACAACTATGTTTTCAATAAAAAAAAAGTATATTTCGCGTAAGCATCAAATTCAGAAATCTTCGGTTTCCGTTAGCCGGTGTTAGACATACTCAGAGGAGAAAATTCCAAGCCCCGGGCGAAGGCCGGCTATTTACAAAATGTGTCAAATTTAGAAAAGTTTGGTTCGCGTTAGCCGGTGTAGGACATACCCAGAGGAGAAAATCTCAAACCCCAGCCGAAGGCCGGCTACTTACAAAAGGTATCTAATTTAGAAAACTTTGGTTCGCGTTAGCCGGTGTGGGACATACCCAGAGGAGAAAATCTCAAGCCCCGGACGAAGGCCGGTTATTTGCAAAGTGTCAAATTTAGAAAACTTTGGTTCGCGTTAGCCGGTGTAGGACATACCCAGAGGAGAAAATCTCAAACCCCGGCCGAAGGCCGACTACTTACAAAAGGTATCCAATTTAGAAAACTTTGTTTTGCGTTAGCCGGTGTGGGACATACCCAGAGTAGAAAATCTCAAGCCCCGGCCGAAGGCCGGCAATTTACAAAAAGTGTTAAATTTGGAAAACTTTGGTTCGCGTTAGCCGGTGTAGGACATACCCAGAAGAGAAAATCTCAAGCCCCGCCCGAAGGCCGGCTACTTACAAAAGGTATCCAATTTAGAAAACTTTGGTTAGCGTTAGCCGGTGTGGGACATACCCAGAGTAGAAAATCTCAAGCCCCGGCCGAAGGCCGGCTACTTACAAAAGGTATCCAATTTAGAAAACTTTGTTTCGCGTTAGCCGGTGTGGGACATACCCAGAGGAGAAAACCTAAAGCCCCGGCCGAAGGCCGGCTACTTACAAAAGGTATCCAATTTAGAAAACTTTGGTTCGCGTTAGCGGGTGTGGGACAAACCCACAGGAGAAAATCTCAAGCCCCGGCCGAAGGCCGGCTATTTACGAAAAGTGCCAAATTTAGAAAACTTTTGTTATTCCGACGACTGCTACGCGAAATAAACCCTCTTTTTTATTGAAAACATCATTTTAATGAACTGATTAGAATCGGGTTATGCGGATGGAAAGACTCATATCTCTGGACCCGAAAAAGGTATTAGCACAAGTTGTAGCATTTTGGAAAGGTAAGAGTGTCAGCTATAATTTGGAAATAATTTTGTTGGCCCCCATAATGGGCCCTTTTTTGACTTTTTGGGGGTTTTATAAAAAATCCGGGTCCAAAAATCGATAATTTGACTATAACTTCCGAACCGTAACATCTTACCCCATCATGTGACCACTTGTTGGATAGGTATTTTCATAAGATATATCTATATTGTCTATATCGGGTAATTGGATCCGGGTCGAGTCGGGGTCTTGAACCCGGACTTTCGGGTCAAAAATCTAGGGTCCCAGGTCTGTCCCCCAAGAAAAAAATAGTTTCCCGGGATCAGGGTAAAAATACCTACCACTGGAAAATTTTTGGAAAAAATCGAAGAGTTTTTACTAAACTAGAGTTGTTCCTAATAAATATCCGATAGTTTTTACTAAACAAGAGTTCTTCCCATTTTGCTAATTGATATTTCATTTTCAATTTATACACCCCATAGGGCTATGGACGGTTCCAAAAACTTATATACATGACTACTATAAAATTAGTGGCACTTTATACACAATTCACTTATTACACTTATATTTGTAAGCATGTATATTTTCTAGGCAGTAGACCGTCAGACTTATACGTTTTGTACACACCTGTTTACGATGTAAACACAACTGTATATGTGTCATGGGTCGTTGTTTAATGACTAAAAAGTTGTTTTTCTAACTTTATTAAACACAATTAATAAACATCATACAATGATGAACAAATGTACAACAAACCAAGCTATATGTTTCATTAACACAAATATGAGTCCAGTTAATAACTTTAGACAAACGTATATACAATTTTTGTATAAAGTTAAGTTGTCTCTAAATAAATAAATAATTTCACGGACAGATAATACGAAATGGATACATTACTTTCTCCATGACGAGCCCAAATATAGTATTTTGTCTGTATCGTACAAACACGGAAATTGTTAAAAAATGTATTTTAATTATTAAAATAAATTCTGTTTTTGCAAATATTGTTTATAAGGTCACAGACACAAATTTTCCATTCACACTGATGATTTCATTACGCTGCGTAATAAAACGTATAAAAGTACTTCCTTGGTAGAATAAGAGAAGAATACAGGTAGATGCATCAACGCTTGGTAGCATTGATATGTCACATGGTAGAAGAATACAGGTAGTCGCATCGACACAGCTGCTGGGACAATGAACTGTCAAACCGATTTTCGAATTGAAAATCTTGAATGAAAAAATATTTGAATTTCTAAAAATGGTTTAAAAAGGCATATTAAAATAACCTCCATTTGACGCCGTATAAGAAAACATATAAAGATATACTTATTTTTGACAAAACATTTTAAATTTTTTGACATGTCATTGTCCAATCATGGTAGAAAAATACAAGTAGTCGCATTGAAATAGCGAATAGCTTTAATCCGCGTCTCGCAATTTAAGCGTCTTCCAATCATAGATTTTGAAAATATTCTGTTTTTTTTTTTTCAAAAAAAAAAAATAAATAAATACATACACAAAATTGGCAGAAGTCGGGCACACTTAGAAAAAAATTTTAATTAACTGTTAGCTCTACTTTACCTTTTTATTGTACCATGCATTTATATTATATTCTTCTACCATGTGTCCAAGCGTTGTCACATCTACCAATATTCTTCTACCATGATATGTCAAAATGTTTCTTTTAATAAGTAGATTTGTATAAGTTTTCTTTTACGACACCAATCGGAGGTTGTAACGATGTGCAAATTTGATTATATTTTCATTACCGAAATACGTCTAGCATACGAAATTCCCAAGTTGAACAATTTTAATATTTACAATTGAAAATTTTCCTTTTTTGTATTGAAATTAGAATTGAATAAAAAAATGTTTACATTTTTATAGAAACGTACAAAGCATTTAAAAATTAAAACAAATAGAAGGAAAAATATAACAGCGTGTTCCACGATATCAAAAGAACACGTTCGCACATTTTTACACGACAAACAGCTGATTTTCGTCCCACTAAAATCCAAAAAAATTCAATCATGCCTATAATTTTTTCAAATTTATACATTTGACAACATATCATTGTCAAAATCTATATTAATAATTCCATTGTATACTCATTAAATCAGAGGTGGGAAGTGTCTTTTATGTAAATTACAGAAAATGCAGAGCTGGAAATCCTAATTTGAAATGAGGTTACCTTTATTTCATTCTACCATGATCAGAACAAAAAATTTTTTTTAACATACAAATAAATTCAACGCAATCACTGGCAAACTCGGAATGTTATTTTGTTTGTTTTTTTTTTTAATTTGTTTTTTTACAACTGAACTGTCAATTCAGACAGAGCCAACTGACGCATGGTTGCATTTTTACTGCTTTTTCTATAATTTTGGCGATTTTTTGTTTAATTTCGGGATGATGTGGAGAAGCTTCTCAACTAGTGTCCGTAGCTATCATGGTAGAAGAATATAGGTATATGCATCGACACAGCTGCTGGGACAATAAACTGTCAAACCAATTTTGGAATTGAAAATGTTGAATGAAATATTATTTAAATTTGTAAAATTTGTTGAAAACGCAAATCATAATAACCTCCGGGTGATGTATAAGAAAACATGTGAAAATCTACTTATATTTGAAAATACATTTAAATTTTTTTGACATAACAATGTTCCCAAGCGTTGATGCATCTACCTGTGTTCTTCTACCATGGCAGGTATATAGTAGATGATTTTATCGTGCAGGAATTGAGGAATTAATTATATTTGTTCTTGACATATTATAATTGCATTTATTATTTTTGCTCACCTTTTTATTTCCACTTTCAATAATAGCAATATTTATGCTGAAACAATTCTTCTGAATTATAATTAGAAGACACACAAGTGACTGGTTTTGACATTTGTGTTCGCATACGTGCGAAAGAAAATATATTGTGGAACGCAAAATTACACTGAACTGCTTACGTTTTCGCTTGCTTTGTATAATAGTATTATTTCAAATCATTTTGGTTAAAAAATATATATTTTTTAAATTTTATAAAGGATTTGCAACCGGAGAAAAAATGAATGAAAAAAGAATTTTCCTCTTTATCATCCCGGTTTGAAAACTTCTCTACATTATTACAGATATCAAGGACTACAAAAATATTTTTTCTCAATTAATTTTAAAAGAATTTTAGCTTGGGCATTTATTAAAGAATTTTTGGAGAGATCGGACAATTTTGCATATTTGCCTCTAAAATCAGATTCATTTGCCAGAAAAGGAGCTTAACTAACCCGTTTATATACTGAGAGCATTGGTTTTCATTACAATGTGTTAGTGTTCTCCGAGACTTGGGTAAAAAGGTGGTGCCGTCCTCATAGCAGTTGATGCCAACTACACCACTAATTTAATTGATCTAAAATTGTTTATAACTTGTTCTTATATAAACTTATTCATTAAAAAATTAATGATTCAGGCTGTATACTAATTCTTGGTGATTTCAATATGTGTTTAGTTCAGAGGGGCTCCGCCGTGTTACACCGAATGCGTCGAGCAGTGTACCGTAGTGCATTTGCAATAATATAAATTTAACTATTTAGGTAGATGCATCAACGCTTGGGAACAGTTCATTGTCCCAGCAGATGTGTCGATGCGACTACCTATTTTCTGCTACCATTGTAGGTACGGTTAGTGAAGATGAAATTCATTGAATTTCGAAATATTGGAATATTAAAACAAATACAACAACAAAGACCTCAAGCTCGAAAAACACTTCTTTCATTATTCGAACAAAATGTAGGGAATGGTACCGCAAATGAATATGCAGTAACAAATTCGGGATCCATCTCTGCTACAACGATATTACGCGATATGAAGCTGCAGATGAATCTGCAGTAACAGATTCGGACTTCAATTTTATTCTCGAAACTTAATAGTTCGAAGCCGTAGATGAACCTGCAGTTACAAATTCGGACTTCAATCAAGCTAGGTATTTCCCGAAACAATTTCGACGGGTGTGTTAGTTGAGGCTTTGTGCCAAGGTCAGTTTATATACCAGCAGTTGTCGCGAGACCGATTTTACGCGAAGGTCGTCTTACAATATTGTTTACAAATTTGAATTACTTTTTATGATTTCCGTTTGATAAATTTGATTTTTTAAATTATAATTAAGCTCAATTACGACATTGTGTGTAGTGATTTAGAACAAACAAACTTAGATTTTTGATTTTGGACTCCAACCGATGGGGAGGTTAAACATTTAGAGGGACAAAAAAACTGGGGCTGAAGTTGACAACAACGATTTTGATGCGCTTGACAAAGCCTAAGGAGTCAGGACCGGAATCGAACTATTCGGTTTTAATGACTCGCGATGAAAGAAATTGTGAAGACGTTAACCACATTTCAAACAACTAATCTTACTAGCATTTTACTACTTTATGTCCCTTTACTAAACAATATATACAATCATCGTGGCGCTTGACAAATGGATCCGATTAATTTTCTCACGACAAAGGAGGTACCGTTATATGGGGGCTATAACAAAACTTGGACTTACATGGCCCATTTTCAATACCAAAAGTCCTGCAGACATAATATACATTTGAATAAAATTTTAGCGATCTTCTTCAATTCGTTCGGAAGCTAGAGTGATTTTCACAGACGGACAGACGTACGGACATCGGTAAATCGACATAGAATTTGATGCTGATCAAGAATATATACTTTGTGGAGTATAAAATGTTTATTTCGTGTTACAAACGGTGTTACAAACGGAATGAAAGACTTAATATACCCTCCATACTATGGTGGAAGGTATAAAAAATAACACTAAACAAATAACGAAAAGATGGCCAAGATAAAAAATCCCCATGGAAGACATCTATATCTATGGGGGACAGCGAGAAACTGTGAACCATATCACAAGGGGGAGGCAAATTCGGAATTGATTCTACGAAGCGACTACTTTTTTCTGCGATTCAGAAAAGATGTTCATTGTTCTATTAACAATGTGGAGAAAATTTTAAAGGAGTCAAATAGAATACTCCAACGTACTATTCGAAAAGTTAATTCTCAAGTACCGATTACGACCTCCTATTACAGCCTATTACAACAAATTTGGCCGACCGACCTAATGTAGCTACTCAAACTAAACGGACACGACTGTACAAAATACGTTGTACCATGGTACAATGAAGAGAAGGTAGGTCAACTTTGAAAAAATTGCAAGTATAGAGGTCTACCTGTTTGGCTTGTAATGTCAGAATTACTATCAAAACAATAGAAAAGCAAACAACTTGTTGCATTGATTTTGAATAAATATTTTAAAACCGCGAAAACTGAATGAATGGTCAAAATTTCTTTTCAATATCATGTTCTATATATCTCTTATGGTTTATTTCGCGACAAAAACTGTAGATTTTATCGATGCATTCGTTGCAATAAGCATTTTGAAATCACCCGAATTTGAATATTTTCTGAACAATTTTTTATTATTGAAAGAAGACACACACATAAGCAAATGAAGTTGACATATTAAGCCAGAAAAATAAAAAATTTAAATCATATGGTAGTTCTGCCTTACCTTGAAACCATTGTACCATGCGTTGTACATACTTTTGAGTGCGGTTGAGGCGCTGGGATAATCTAGCAACAAGCAATAAATATTCAAAAATTATATATTTCCCAGTCGCCAAAAAATACCACATGTGAACAATTCGGTGATCTTGTGCGCTGACGCATACGATAATGTGTCAGATAATAAAGGTTAAAACCCACACGCACAGATATCGATGCGCTCAGTGGATGCCCAAGACCACTTGAATGAAATGTCAAGCAGCCCTGCAATGTTCTCCATTCAATATTATCAATAGATAAGAATAATTGTGCGGCTGCGATTAGGTTAAGTAAGATTAGTTTTTGTAGTGCTTAAGCAACATATTTTTTAAATAAAATCATAATTGAAATAGCACCCTAACAAAGCGGTCCTGTTCCTTTTTTCACTTTACATCGCTCCAGTCGAGCCGAAATGGAATAGAGTTGATAATCGAAGAGGGAGATTGGACTCTATTTTTCACTTAAAACTACATCCAAAGAAGTTTGAAGGTTGTTCTTTCTTTTCTCACT